CGGGGCGGCCCCGCCAACCCGCTCCCCTTCCGCCCCGCGGGAGCTGCGCCACGGGAGCTCTGCCGCCGTGAGCCGAGCTGCGTCCCACGCAGCGTTGGGGCGCGGCCCCGGGCTCTGGGCACGGACGGCAGCGCGGCGGGGGGCTGGGCGCTCCTGAGCGCGGCACCGGCACCTCCCCGCACAGCGGCTCCAGGAAGCCGCCTTCTCTCCCAGCTCTGCTACTCGGAATAATACAGATGTATTTCACCTGGACACAACATCTTACGGCAACCCCCCATGGCTTATCTGGGAATTCAGTTGAAGTAGTTATACCTCAGAAAACCAACTGTGCAAAACCTTCAACCATGAACTTTGGAAGACAACGTGATACTGAAGAAAAAAAACACCCAAACTAACACTCTCATGTAAGAATGGCTGCCAGAAGATTGCTTTTTTGGGGTTTGTTTTTTTTTTAAGACTGATTTTTTTCATCATTTTTTACGCTTGGTGATAAAGCTTGTTATTTGTCTCTACCATTCCTAGTCAAATTGCTACAGGCTTTCCCAGGATGTACTCCCACCAGCTTTAAAGAGGTTCAGGGATCACGTATGACTCACCATTTCAAGATACCTTCTTAAATCATTGGCATTGAAAAAATTTCTGAATAGTTTAATGCCTTCCCCCCTCCATCCCCCCCAATGTCTTGTCATACCTTTTACTAGCTTTTAGCCACGTTTCCGAGTCTGGACAGAACACGTAAAGCAAGCAACTAAATATAACTCCTCAAGTAAGTGTACAGATCAGTCTTCTATAGCCACAGAATGAATTAAAAAAACCAAAACAACAAACCAAACAAAACTTAAACCTTGCTTCCTCTGCTGCTCACTCACTGCACACATCATGGCCACTGCTCTCATGAGGTCCCCATGCCTTCCTGCAGCCCTTCAGCCACCAACTCTCAGGAGCTTTCCAGACCATCAGCCGTAACTACCAGTCATCACGTCAGAAAAGCTAACCAAGCATTATGCCTGAAATTCAGTTCTCCAAAACTGAACAATAAGCAATCCGACATTTCATGTGCAATATAATTCATGTGGAAAATCATTCACCAAATTTACCTTTTGTTTTTCTAGTGCCTGCAAAGGTCAGAGACAATCTAGAATATCCATGATTAGACTCTCCATCACAGTCATAATGCAAGACTGTTGTGTTAATGTACATATTTTATTTTGCACTGGTAATTTATTTTGACAAAACTCATCTTGTGGCTGTAGTTTTTCTAATATAGGACCAGACTGATGAATGTAAACCGAGTTTACAAAGCAGAAGTTGACAACATACGACAATTATAAAAAGTGCTGTCTGCAACATTTTTGCTACTTAAAGAATTGTAGATGTCACAGAAGTCCAAATAGTTGATGACAACAGCTGACTCTCTGCAAGAACTAAACTGCATGTACACCATGCCCAGCAACCTCCCACAAATTCACACACTTCCACAGCTGTGTTTCACTTAAGTGGATGGGATCAACCCCACCAATATTTTTCCTGTTGTATTCCAGATTGTCAGAGAGAACCTGAGAGAGGTTCAGAGCCACAAACAGGAAAAAGGATATAATACAATTTTTAAAAGTTAGAATGTAATCTCGTTCTGTAAAATCACTCCCTTTTCAATACAAAGCTTCAGATTAAAAAAAAAATAATCTACATTTAATGTATCCTCCAGAGAGTAAATTGCTTGGTGTCCCTGTATTTCACACATTCTATATCAGTTTTTTTTTTAAGGAGGGAGAAAAACAACCAACAAAAACCCCTGTAATTGTTTCCAGTGTGGTGCCAGATGTCAGCATTTAAAATTATTGGTTCTTTTGCACTATAGGGAAGTTTCCAGTATGTCTGTCCTGCACAGCAGTAGTGAGTCAAACAAGCAGCTGAATGCTTATGTTTACTTGCTATTACATATGGAAGAGACAGAAGGAGCACAGAAAATAATTAAATCCTTTATCTGATGAAGTATTATGGCAAAATGTATTATGTCTGGAGTAAGGGCTAGGGCCTTTGAACAACACTCCATACAGAAAACAGAAATTTTGACTCAGACAGAGGGTGCAGTGTAATTCTGCTCATTACCTGCTCAGCGATCTGTACCAGGCATAACTTTGCCTTTCTCTTCCAAATAAGTTCTCCTCTTTATTTTACAGAGGCAAAGTCTCAAAAAACTGGAAATACTGGTCTGAAACAGACGGCCTTTAAGTCAGCTGGACCTGGACCTTCCAAAGATTACAAGGCATATATATGAGAATGGACTTTGCTAAGTGATGTTGGTTGACCAAGTCCAAAGAGGACTGAGGGAAGAAGTTCAGGATCACAGGAGTTGGATGCAGGAACTGTGGGTGCTCTGTCCTGTCCAGATGTCTCATGCACACTTGGAACTAGAAATATATTCTTACAACTCTACGTATTACAGAGTCAGAAAGTGAACCTCTGTGGAAATGAGTTGACTTTTTCCTGCTTTATGAAAACAAACTGATGCCTAAATCCATTTTTTAAATCTATGACAAGGAAGAGTAGAACATTCTGCTTTTCTTAGTATGCAGAAGGTGGAGAACTGTTTTTTAAAATTTGTACAAATCACTCTATTTTCCCTGTTTACATCAGTTTATTTTATGCTTACTAGACTGACTTGAGCACAGGATAACGTGTATGTATAATCACACACGTGTGTGCATTTTATTTTTCCATGTGACCAGTCAATATTTGGGTGTCTCTGTACCTTCTTGCAGACTTTGTTATTTAAGTCCACCAACATGTGGTCTCAAATAAAACCAAACAACAGCTCTCTCTAATTTCTTCAACATCCTCTTGTATTGTTTTGGGTGTACCAGGGTATTGTTGATTAGAAGTCTGATCACAGTCTTTTTGTCACTACTCTTTGTTGTCTTTAACCCCTACTGTTTGTGCAATAAAGCAATGAAAAACAAGTTAGAGTGAATCCATGGTTACCTGGTTTATATCAACACCTATGTAAAGACACAAACACTTACTCTTTGACATCAAAGACACTGTACCAGAGGCAGACGCAACTGATTCCAATATACCTTTTAGGGAGGCTGAAAAGGTTACCATTCCAACACAGCAGTTCAAGAGCAAGCACTCCTCTAAACACAGTCTTTAATCCTTTAGGAGAAAACTGTTTCATTTATCTATGGCATTGCTCTCACCTAGGGGAAAAAAATTTGTATCTTACTCATTTTTCTAAAAACTATTAAAGTAAGGAAGGTAAGAATTTCTGTAAGAAAGTTTCAGAAAACTGGTAGTATTAAAATGTAGCAACAGACATTGTTTCAATATAGTATCACTAAGAAATAAAAGGCAGAAAACAAAGATTTGCAAAAAATATGTATTTTTAAAAGTATTTTCTTATTTTACAAGTACAAAAAGCAGTGTTTAAAAATCAAAATCCTAGAAGATACTCTGGAAAAAATGGCCTCTAAACCACAAGACTCCTCTGTGACAACTCCCAATGTCACAACTCCCAAAAATCCTGCATTCAACAAGCAAAGGTATGATCCAGCTCAATAAACCCTTTTTAGCAACACTTTAAACCCCACAATCCAGCAGCTGATATGACTGGTCTCTGTAGAATGTGTCAAGGCACTCCGTGGCTACAGAGCAAAAGGGTTAGCATGAATTGTAATATCTTTAATGCGAACATCATTAAGAGGTCGGTAGGTTTTCTCATTCACAGGCAGCTTCTCCAGCTCATCCAGGGTCTCTAAGCCATCAATAACTCTGGAAAAAAAGTGGAAGTGCTAGGAATCTCCTAAGAATGATTTAAATTTCACAACTGACATATCTCAAAGCAGTTTATGGGTAAATATCATTGGGCAAGAACTTTGCAAGCAAATGACACAGATAAGACAGCCAAAACATTATGTATGGCATATCACGTATTTTGAAAAGAAATATTAAGCATCCATGACAGATTCTGATAAAAAGTACAAATAATTCCCACTGACCTGACAGTGTCATATTTTATACCAAACATAGCTTTGTAAAGACCCTGGCTGCACTTCCTTGCAGACAGGATTGACCAATCAAAGTAGTGGTTCAAGTAGCAGCAAGATACTGGTCATACCAAACTTTACTGTGAATTACTGAAATCCTATGGCTGGAAAATTAACTTCCAAATGTGAGATTTATAATTTCTAACTTCTGACTAAGAGATAAGATAGGACAGAACCATGAATAACTGTAAATCTAATGGCACAAATATGTTTAGGCTTTCGGATTCCTGTTCAGGCATAAGTGACAAAAGAGATTTTTCTTGCTTTTTTATTAGAATAACTCACTCTGGTAAATTTTGACAGTTGATTCCCCAGTAATGGACTTTACAGAAAGCATCTTCTGCTGTTCACAGTTCAATTCAGTCTTATTCATTCACTCTTTGAATCTAGGAAGCTGGAATGTGGGATAGCAGAGATGTTCTGCTGATTTTACAACTGGGGCAGAAGCATCATAAACTGCCACAGAAAATCCAGCAAAGTTCATCTGTCAGTCTCTACCCTTTTCTAAGTAAGACACCTAAAAACAAACTCAGAAATTAAAGGACCACCTATATTTAGACAAACAATACAGGTGGTAGAAAATAGCATTTTCTTTGCATTTTAATAATTTCCTTTCAATATTTCCACTTAATATTTCAACATTTCCACTTAATAAAGCTAACTTCCTCAGGAGATTCACATGTACACGAGTCTTTTTAATAACATGTAAAAGAAAAGACATTACCATGATTTTGAGATAGAGAATGAAGTATCTGCAAGACTCAAAAATTAAGCATTTTAATGATGATATATTATCAGTAGTGTTTGTTAACATAAGAATGTTTTAAAATACTTATGCATCTTATCTGATTTTACAAACTGTCCATTCCATTAGCTTTATCTGACCAACAGGAAGTTCCACCTAAACAGAAGCATGATGATGTCAGTACCACAGCCATGCCTAGACCCAGTCCCAAATCAGACTCTTGCTTCTCAGTAAACCCTGTGACTGTGTATCCAAGTTGTTCCGGAGTTGGCTTAAAATAAGGCTGCATCTATGAGAATGTATGAGTGGGGAAAAAAAAAAAAAGTGCTCCATTCCTGAAATAATTTCTAATATGCCTATTCCCACCAAATTCCCTACTACTAAGGAAAGGAGCAGCATTTTTGAGGAACTAGTTCTGGTGACAGTGCAAGAGCATACATTTGCATATACACATCCCATACCAGAAGCTTCTAAATTGCACTACACGTATCCTGAAATATGCATATCCTTTACATGTTATGATAAGGAGTCACACAGTTGGATCACTTACTTTCCAAACACAGTGTACTTCATGTCTAGGTGTGGTTGCTTGCCATAAGTGATGAAGAACTGCGATCCATTGGTATTTGGACCATTGTTTGCCATTGAAACTACCCCTCGAACACTGTGCTGAAAGGAAGGAAAAACCTCAACATGAACACACATCTGTGAAAGCAGGGCTGTAATCCATACAAAGTGCTCTTTCACTTAGTACTCTGCCTCAATACCATCATTAAGCTAAAATCTTGGTTGCTAATAATATTGCATCACATCTATAATTAGCTCTTCAAAATCACTCTTACAATTAAAAATTAATTATTTTCCTTCAGGCCATGAAAAACACTGTTACAAATTATTTCTGCTTCTGTTCTCAGTTATGAAAACCCTCAAACCTAAGTTGCCAAACACAGAAATGCCTGTTCCTATTTTAATAATAAGCTTTCTATCCCTATGTTGTGAGATTATACTTTGTTTCACAATGACTGAACAAGTATTTAATACAGTACAACACAATGCTGATTGTTCTCCAACCTGTAAAGAAAATTTGTATGAAAATATAACTGCATATTGAGAGCACAGAAATACCTTTAGGTATTCACTGAATTCATCTTCAAACTTCTTGCCCCAGATGCTGTTACCACCTTTCCCAGTACCTGAAAAAGAAGCACCACAATAGATCACTGGATTTTCAGACTGAAAAATCTAGAAATTATGTACTATTACAACATTTTATGACAAAGACCCTAGGTAGCCTGTAATTTGATTCAGGTAGGGATTGGGTTCTCATAGCAGAGAACAAAACACTGACACATCCTCAAATTAAATTAAGTATAAGTCCAAACAGAGACACAGTTGAAATGGATTTTCTCCTGAACAGTTGACACTGTCCCAGACATACTCTCTAAATTCTTTAGTGGCTATGTAGCCTTTCAAGCAGAAACCAGAGAAACCACAGTTGCAACTGCTACCTGTTATACAGCTGTTAAATCAGCAGAATCATCATATTTAGTGAAAACAGCTGGAAAAACTAAATTTTGTAGAATGGTTTACTATTAGATGATTATTTAGAACTAGGGTAACAGCTGCTCTTCTGTAAGTTCACCACAGAAAACTACTCTCATAATAAAAACTTCTATCAACAATACAATATTTTTTAATCTTGCTTTTACTTTCTTTACATTTTTGTTTTAATACCTATTTCTTTATATCTGATTTTTACATATATTTTTCTACAAAGAGGCCCAAACAGAAGAATTTACCTAATGGATCCCCTGTCTGAACCATGAAGCCCTTTATATTCCGGTGAAATACGCATCCATTGTAGTAATTACTAGCACAAAGAGCCAGGAAATTCTAAGGAAATGAAACAAACCATCTTAAAAAACAATTCAAAAACAGTATCCTCTTACTAAAATGGCAGCACTGGCAAGACCAACACTAACCCAGAGGCAAAAGCCTCTGCTTTGCATTGTGACCACGTGAAATCTACAGTGTTGCCACAGAATAGTCATAAACAATTTACAGTTAATATGCTCCTTTGACACTGTCAAAGAATGAAAGGATTTAAAATAAAGCTTACAGTACAAGGTTGTCTGAAATGAGGAACAAACAAGAAGCCTGAGACATACTCAGAAGTATTATGTCCAGTCAACATTTTTACTTCGTAAATGTAACTCTGTAATCATTAACTTCATACCTCAGTTTTGTTAGTTTAAAAGTAAACTCTTTAAATTTAAGCTTAAATTTACTGCAGAAAATAAAACGTTTAGCCTCTAACAAACTGTGAGTGATTATCACTCTTTTAAATTAAATCTGTGTGAGTGGGAGTGAACCCAGGGAAATTTGAAAATCCCAGGCCACGTGTCATTTTTCCTGTTAAGGGCAGTGAACACTTTGGGAGATGCTAGAACTGGAGAGAAGTGGCCTGTAAATAAACCTCACCTGGTGATAAACAGGCAGCAAAGCTCTAGGCAATATGACATAGTGTACAAGTTCCATGAGTGGAATAGGCACTGTATTAGCTTAAAATGTATTCCATTATGTGAAAAGATTAATTGCAAAAAACATTTGATCTCCTTTACATTTCAGTATTTCTACTACTCTGCTTCAACACTAGGGAATCCTGCTTCTGTTAATTAACTTACTTCGCAAGTCTTTGGTGTACGCTCACAGAATAGCTCGATTTTAATATCTCCTACATCAGTATGCAGTGTGACAGCCTGAGCAAGATGCAGAAAATTATATCAGCAATTAAATACTAACAAACTCAAGATTATTTCCCAGCCCCACCAAAAGCATAAGCAAGCTCCCACAGCACATAGCCACTGTTTCAATATTTGGCCATAAGCAAGGCTACTGACACAAATCTTTCACGTTTCCAATGAAAACCCAAGAAAGCACTTGGTTTAGTTTAGTTTCAGGACAAATCAAGTTCACCACAGTAATGCAGAAGCTGTTTTATGCTGCTGCGCTCCAGAGACATCATTCATTTGCGAAACAGATCTACTCAGTCACTTCATTGCAAGGTTGAAAATTCAAGGTTAAACGTATTTTAGATGACAGTGTGGTGCACATACTTCAGTGGCTTAAACCCAGAGAAACAACTGATGTTTGTCACTTGCCTACAGCCTTTTAAGTGGTAAGGCTAGTTCTGAACAGCACTGTACAGAGTCTGCTTTCACAAACAAGTAAATTACAAAATTACTCTTTTCTGAAGAAGTTATAAATAACCTTAATAAAATTTAAAATGGCAGTTACCAAGCCACCAAAGCAAATTTATCTCTCTCTCTAGGCCAAATATATCACAGTCCTCCCATGGAAAGTGCTAAAACCATACAAAAACAATTACTGAGGAGCTACAGCAGGGATAAGCATACAGAAAAATTAATCAAAATCAGCATTGCATACTGTTCCACAAGTATACTAGTAAAGACAAGAAGATAGTTGTCTGCAATGTCCATGAAGATACCCTAAAAGATGCACGTGCAGTTTGAGATGTACAGTCTTATCTTTATATCCTGATTTGCTAAATTTTTAAAAGTGTGTAGGTGTTCGCATACACTCAAGCAGGTCTATGTACTTGCAACCTGAATAAAGCCTCTGTAATAAAAGAAAGTAGATTACCAAATGTTAGATAAAGCAGGATTAAAATTTAGGATCTTAGAACTGAAAGTCTAATTATATTTTGGACTGATGTAAATTTACCTGTTCTCCTTTTCACAATATATTGATGGAAGTTGGAAACTAAAACCTGAACTTTTCATTACCAATTCTTCAGAGCATCAGAGTAAAATCTGAAAACCTCTGAAATGCAGAGCAGCTGTTCAATTCCCAAGATATAACTGTATCAGAAAGAATGAAAATATATTAAATGTACTATTGTTCTCACCATGTCTGATCATCAAAAAGCTGAAGTAGATTTGTATACAGCAACTTCCTGAAAAAAACCCATATAATATTTGTTAAGGCTTTTTTTTTTTCCCCCATGAATCCCCGATTCTTTTTTATTATAAAATATTTGTATGGTTCTATGTTTTTACACAACATAGTTTTACAGTGTCATTCAAGCATCTAAGGAACAAGAAAGGAGTAGAACGAAATAGCTTAGAGAATGGAGTTTGGGGCAAAAAACCATAATTTCCTAATTTGAAAGCTGAAAAGCAGTCACAGCTTTACCAAAGACTACAGTTTTGTAAATTACATAAATTAGCAGATAAAAACCACGTGCCAATACCTAAATAGAAGCGTGGAGTCCCCTGACAGCTGTCAGGACGTGCAACAGACTGATACCTGCATTTAAGCACAGAACCAAACTATTTTCATCTTAGTTATATTTCCAAATAAAGTATTTGGAATGATGATAATAAAATTAACAGTTTTACAGGCTCGTTTCTTCTCTATGTACTGCCCTCCCGGCCAGCCCCGGGCCTTGGCGAGGCCCTTCACAGAAGCCGGGGCACCTGTCCCGGCTCGGCCC